GTAATGACTGTTCTTTCATTTGTTGCAGCCATTGTCGGCGTATTCTTTGCTTCAACCATTTTTTTGTACATGATCATCAAATTGGTTGTCCAAAGATTCTCTGAAAAACCGGCTTCAGACACATTTTTTTGTACATGATCATAAACATTAAAAAACTTCCTTTTTGTTGCTCAATAAGTAATGCGTTATTTTCATTCAAAAAAAACTCATGTCAGTTTTAAACCAGGTCTTCTCAAAATATACATAGGTAGTATGCTTTTTAATGAACGGCATATCTTAAAAAAAGGAAATATTTCGACAAAAGAAACTCATACTTCGGAATATACCTCAAAAAGTCTCTTGATCCCTTCTCTGTGGATCATTCGCGTCAAGATTGTCAGTCAAAATTCATCCAACCTACTTCAGAATGTCAAGTTATACTCTGTTTTATCTGTAGCATACCGTAAAGCTCAATAAATGTTTCAAAAACCAACAGAAATACTTTGGTTTTTAGAAGGATTTTGCAGAAACCTTCGGGACTAAAAGAACATTTTTTATTGCTTTTTAGTGCAAAATTAGAAAGAGTGGAGAAAATAGAGTGTAACTTGACATTCTGAAGCTGATTGGATGAATTTTGACTGAGTTATGAATTTTTTAATTTTCGATAGGTTTTCACTCGGTTCTTGCAATTTCTTCTGAAAACTAACATTGCCACGAGGTTTAGCATAGTCGATAACCTATGTTTTCATTCATTCCTGACAGTTCCAAACCTAACTCCGGAGGAGTGCTAAAGCTTCAGGAAAAACGTCCATAGCTTCCGAACCATGGATTTTTTAGATCCAGTTTGGTAGACGACACTTCGCCTATATATCTTGAACTAATTCAGATCGAAAATATACGTCTGTAAGTGACAATGAATGTCATTTACTTCAGTATTTTTTTATTTTTTTCTCTTTTGAAGAAATACATATTCAGACGAGTTGAATCTTGAACTCTTTCTTTTTATTGAAAAGATTAGCAACAGTTCAAATTCGAAGAAGTATTCATTAGACAAATTAAAATGATGAAAATGAACACATGAAACTAACTGTGATTAAAAATGGACACTAAGTTGTATCCTAAGTTTGAAGAAGAATTCTGCTTGATTTACGTTTCAAAATTGCTTATTTTACTGTTATTTTTTTCTACGTTTATAGATAAGATTCGATGACGGCTATTGTTTTGTTCAATAACTGAAAGAAGTGATAGTGTCGATTATCATTACTTTGCATGTGCCGATTTGAGTCGAACTTGCATCAGCATTATGATGCAGATGAACTATCTTCTTATGTTCATGAACTATCTTATTACGTTACAAAAAATAAAATAGTAAATGATAGGTAAATTCGAAAACAAAAAGATAACCATATTATAGAAAATAAAAAGCAGAAGAAAATAATTTCATTTAACGTTAATATATACAACATTTCCTTTTGAGAATAACATAAAAATAGACTGTCTGGCAGTGTTTGATAGTATCACAAAGACGATCCTTAGTTATTCTTTTAAAAGTCATTTGTATGGACATTTTTAACCTTTATCAGCACAGGATTTCATTTTCTACATTACAGGTGGAATGGTCAAGCTATTACAACGGAATCTTACGTAATTGAGTGATTTCCTTTCCTGATCTTTATTAGATTCTGAACTTTGATTTGCTCATCCCTCTCCTTACTTCGTCACTTCTTTTTGATTTGTCAGATATTTCTCTCATGCTAAGTCGACACAACCTCTGCTCTATGTATAATCGAAACTCGTTTGCTGAATGCAAAGGTTATAAATGAAACATATACCTACCTATCGAATAGTAGAAAAATTGTGTTATTGATTCTGCCTCATGTTCATGTTCCTAATACAAAATTTTTATCAAGTGGTACATCTCGTTGATGAGTCGTCGATAGAAAGATGTGGATGGCACGGCTGTTTGTTTTGGAACAATGACAACTGATTGATTGAAAACTTCAGCTGCAATTGTAGATTGTGCTGTGTTGGTGTTTCTGCTACCGTTTCCTTTTAAGCTGTTTCCTTCTGAACTGTTTCCTCCGTACCTTGTTCAGCATTTTTTTCTATTGAGTCAACCATTATTCTTAATTCTTGTTGGGATTGCTGGCGTTCTTGTGTTATATCTTGCAGTTTATCAATTATACTATTCATTTTGTCGTGTAATAACTCATCAAAAAGTTTCAAACGTTCGATCGAATTGCGTAAATTATCTAAATTTAAGTCAAATTTTTCCAAAATAATTCGCATACGATCATTAAACACATGTTCAATTCTATCGTGGATATCATACTCTTGATTCGCTGCAACGGGTGAAATGGCTGATGGAACAAGTGGTGGTGGTGAAGGAATAGCACGTTTAGAAGCTTTTCTCGAAAATGTTAAACGATCATTCTCATCGTCCGCTCGTTCCATACGTGAATTTAATCTCGAAAGTACCTTATGCATCAACAACAAAGTATTGGTTAAATTATTATCGTGTTTATATGGATTCTGCTGTTGACGACGAAATTTCGATAAATCTTCTAATAGTAAGGGTAATGTCGACAGTTTTTGCAATTCAAACGAAGATTGTGAATATTGTTGTTGTTGTGGCTTGGGTGGTAATGGTGTTAAATCCATTTTCTGTAGAATGGGTATTCGCTTATTATTATTGAAATGAAATGGTAATCTCGTCGATGATTGTATTGTCTGCAGTGTTGAATTTTCAACTAAAATAAGCACAAAAAATCTAATATACAGTACTCCGCAAAAGTAGCGATCCTCTGTAATTCAAGAACCGTGGTAGCTAGAGACTTCTAATTTTGTGTGGTCATAGTTCTTACCGAATGCTGATCACCCACCAAGTATGGGCCTCTTTTACTACATGGTTCGTGAGATATAAGCGATTTATGTTTTTTTTGTAAAATATCACTAAGAGAGATGACAAAACTTTTCCTTTTTACTAAATGTAGCTACGACTCTACTCCATCCACAATATAATATTTTGTGAGTTGATTATTAGTAGTCAGTGAAATACAGCTATTTTACGGGCGAGGTCCCTGAAAATGAGGTTCTGTGATCAGTGGCGGCGCGAAGAGGCTGGGAGCATGAGGGGGGGGGGAATCCAAAAGTGGGAGTAAGATCC